TACTCAGCTGTCAGTCTGTCATCAGTTAGCTGCCTGCAGCTGGTCCAAAAAGCTGCAGCATGGTTACTAACTGGCACGACTAGACGGCATATCTCACATACTAGCATCCTTACACTGGCTGCCAGTTAGTTTTTGAATTGATTTTAAGATTTTATTATTCGTTTTTAAGGCGTTGCACGTGTTAGCACCCTCATAAGTTTATGATCTTTTAAATTGGTACACCCCTGCAAGATCACTGAGGCCTGCAGATCAAATGCTCCTGGCTGTCCTGAGGTCCAGATTAAAGCACAGAGGCGACTGGGCCTTTGCTGTGACTGCTCCTAAATTGTGTAACAAAGTGCCCCTTCATGTCAGGGCCTCGTCAACATTAGACACTTTCAAAACGCATCTGAAAACCCACTTTTGTTCCTTGGTTTTTAAATCAGAACGATTTTGTACTACTTTTGTCTTGTTTCTTACTCAAATCTTCTCATTTCATGCTTCTTTTTCTTATTTTTTTTGTCGTGTATTTATAGAGATAAAAATCTTCTTTGATTATCTTAAATGTTGTTCAACAGTTGTTTTAAATGTGCTATACAAATAAATTTGACTTTAACTTTAATACGACTGGATTTGTGTGGTCTCTAATTTCATGTGAGTAATCTCAGTGTCTCTTCACTTCAGTTAATTGCAGAGGAAGCAGACTGACCCACGTAAGACTTCCTTTTTATAAAAATCCTTTCATTTTCTCAAAAATCAACAGTGCACTTTATAATCCGGTGCGCCTTATTTAGGAATTCTGGTTGTGCTTACCTTCCTCGAACCAATTTTATGTGGTACATGGCGCTCAAAATGCTGAATGCTGAATTCTATAAGGCAAAGCCGTAAATATGTGTCTGAGTCTTCTATCGAAGGTTAGATCTATCTTTATGAAGTTGATGAAAAACGCTTTATTTCACCACATTAGTGCGTTTCTCGCTATTACATGGCATTACCTTGGCCTCCAATAACGCTGTGAGGAACCTTGGAGTCATTTTTGACCAGGATATGGTAAATGGTAAATGGCCTGTATTTGTATAGCGCTTTTACTAGTCCCCCTAGGGACCCCACACCCAGTCATCCACCCATTCACACACACATTCACCCACTGGTGGAGGCAAGCTACAGTTGTAGCCACGATGTGTATGTCAATTGTACATCATGTCTGGGCTTTAATAACTTCCACATTCATTATTCTGTTATTTTTATCCAGGATATGTAAGGTAACCAAAACAAGTTGTGTAAAATTTCTAGAAAAGTTATCTTTGCTCCTCCCTCAGAACCTGAAGGCTGCAGACAATGACCCAACA